CTGTCATTCTATGATTTTCATCTTTGGTATAGTAGTTCTGACAAGATGTTTAGTGTTCTACAGGTTAATACAAAAAAGGGGTTTTGTTGGGAGTTTTTTTGGTGTGATGTCTTCAAGTTATGTGGAAAGAATATTTTTAGAATGTATGCATACGTTTAAGTGTTCCCTACTCTTAAGTGGGAGTATGTGGTGTGTAAACGTTTATCAATTCATAAATACTTACAATGACATTTCCGTGATCTTAACACACAGAATAATTATTATTATAGCCCTCAAATTTGAAAATATAAACTTACTTGGTTCTGTGGAAATTGCTTTTCATATACACTTCATCCTGTTTTCAGGTCTTTGTTAATTAGTGGCTGAGATTCGGTTTTGTAATTTTGTAGCACAAAACCCAGCCTAGGCTGAACTATCAGTTCTCAAAAAGATATATGGGCTTTCTCCAGAGCTATAATTAATTTTTTATAAAGCTAGGAATGTAATGACAAGGTTTGTTTATAAGTTGATAGGTGTTATAATTTTTATTTTTAGGTTTTTTTCCTTGCAAATATGAAAACCATGCCAATTTCCCATTCGTCAAAGGTCATTTAAATTTTTTTACAGAATATCCAGATATTTTTTTTGAGAGGGGTGTTGGACTGAGGCAGAGTAATGCTCATGGGAAGGATGCTGAAAGTTCCAGGAATTTATGACTGGAGTACTTCATGGTTCGCTTCTAGGTGTGCCTGGCCCAGTGCAGCCATGAGTGAAAGTCACAGCTATCTGACAGCTGCTGAGTGACCCAGGTGAAGTGAGTCAATGACATCAAACCAGGTCTGTACCAATATCCTCATGACAGCTGGTGCTAATTGGCACCCCTGTTGACAGTCTCAGTGGAGTTACTGAATCAAACAAAGCACCAGATTAGTCTCCTTGTTTGATGTGCATTGGCAAGAGTTAGCTGAAAAACTTTTTTTTTCCCAGTTCTCTCAAAGAAACCATTTATTCTGGTTGAGTAGAAGGAAGTTTTCACTGTTGACAAGGGATCATCACTTCCCGAGTTTCTGTGTGTTCATACATAGAATTTGTAAGGGGAGCAATGGTGAAAGATCAAGAGCAAGTATTGTTACATACACGTAAAAAATGCTGAAGCACCATGAAAGCATAATCTTACTTTTCTGTGAAATTATTTGAATGATTGATGTCACAGCAACCTCTGTGACAATGGAGAGAAACTAGATAAGGGAAAAGATTTTCTCTGTTTATTTTGCAGAAGCTACATTCATGCTTTACTTTTTTCCTGTGCACATCCCTCTCAGCTATGTAAAATAAAAAAGAAATATTTTTATAAAGTGTTGTAGAATACCAGAGGTTAACTGAAAGCAGAAGAGCCTGAAATACATTAGGAGACATCTAACTCTTTCTCATTCTGCTGTTTCATGTAATTGAGAAGTGTGGATTCAATGCCATCGATCAGAATTACTATGCATGTGTTATGGTGTAATATAATAAAATACTGCGTTATGACCTGAACAAAGGGTCCTGAACCCAAGGTTCTGTGTTATTTTCCAGCTGTAGCAAACAGTACAAGAATTCTGCAAGCTCTTGAGGCTGTTGTGCCATAAAATCTACTAAGGCCCCAACAACATATGTAGCAGCTGAAACAACTTTTTATTAGTTTTAAAATTGTCTAGATTATCCATGTTCCCAGTGTTCTTTTAAAATCTTGACTATTTTTTCTTGGAGAACATAAAAATTAACAGAGGGAGTGAGCATGTTGAATATTTTGAGGAGATAGATGTTGCTTGACTGCAGTAGTTGTGAACTTATCAAAAATTACAATGCTATTACAGCATACACACACAAAAGCCAAATGAGAGCTAAACATATGACAGGTATTGTCTGCCTTTATACATCGTCAGACCATAATCTTTGAAATAGTCTTAGCTTTCTACAAAGGTATCTTTAAGTAGTTCAGTATTAAACTCTGCAAATCGTGCTTCCCCATTTATGAGAGGGGCTAAAAGCTCTTCATAGATGCTTTATGTTTCTAAAATGTTCTGAATATGTAAAGTGCTGTTCAAGTACTAAGTTTAAACATTTTCTCTTAAGCAAGACAATTGGATTTAGTTAGATTGTAACCTTCAAAGATCACCTAAAATGATTAAAGTGCTCTCTGTGACCCTTTGTAGTCTTAACAGCTTTTGATGGTATCCCCAAGACCGGCCTAAAACTCCCATTCAATCTTGGTCTGTAACGTTTTGATATGCTCTCTCCTCAGGCTTTTTTGAACTATAAGCTTGGCTGGTTTATTTGGTATTTAGGGATGTTCCGTGGTTTACCTTTTCTGCTTTCTCCACTAAGCACTGTTTTTGCAATATATTAAGACAGAAAAGGTAATAGTTTTTCACACCAGATATGGTCATGGAATATAAAACTTCTAATGCCCAAAGAAAACATTGGAACACCAAAAAAGAAAGCAAAAATAATTTCTGGGTACCTGGGGAGAGCAGAAGGCATGTGACTGTAGGAAATAAACACTTTTAGTGTAGGGCACGCAGCTTTTATTATTTCCTTAACGTTATTCTGGAAACAGGATTTACAGATGATACAAACAAAAATCTGAAGGCAGAAGGAATTGCGGCTAAATTAAGTATTTTTAGTGAAAATCATGTGTTTAACAGGCAGTTATTATTTTAACATAGGTGTAAAGAATAGAAGACAAGGGAAGAGTTTTCTTACGTTCTAATAAATGCTTCTGAATGTTTGTTAAGATATTTTTCTTTAAATAAATGCGTCATGCTCATGATCTAATAGGTTAGTCCTTGTCATCACTATCATCATTGCTACTATCCTATCGAAAAAAAGAGTTGATATTTGTATTTCCTTTTATAAGGTAAAAAATTTTTCATAGCTGTGCACTTGGTTTGATTAATTGAAATGTATGAGATACCCAAGATGCTTAAAATTGTTTCTTCAAATCCACAAAGAAACAGGAATTCAGGTAACTAGCCTGAACGTTTTAATATAGTCATTATAATCTCACGCAATGCATTTATTTTTAGTAAAGATGTATATTCACCAAGACACCTATATGCATTGTTGATACACAAAATGCAGTGTATAACAAACAGGTTATAGACAGAGGCTGTAATTTCACACAGCTGAAAGGCTGGCATCAAAATGTCAATCTAATTCTTTTGCAATATTTTTTATTTGCAAACTCCAAAACACTTGCCAGCTGAAGCATCTCTCTACCAAAGAGTAAATTTCAACTTAATTGAAATATACCTCTTCTTTAGTTACCTCTTCGTAGTCACAAAGGGTTGTCAGACCACAAATCAGAGGCCCCTGTCCTAAACATCTTGGCCTTCTGCATACTTAAGACTTGTTTAAAGAAACATCATCAAATTTCTAGCAAGTTATAAATATAGCCCAAAATACTTTTTCAGCTTGGCTGGTGGCACAGTACAGCACTCGTTCATAGCATGGATTACTGTCTGCTGGAGGAGCTAGACAATGGCAACTTATAATTTTTTCCAGATCTGATTTATTTTCATCTCCCACATACAGAATTTGAAGTTGATTCACTTGTGCAATTTCTAAAGTTAGAAACACTGCCCAGCTGGACAAAGTGGTACAGATTTTGAAGAAAATTCCTCTCATTATATTGAGGGGAAATATAATCTCAAAGCTATAACTATGTAGCTTAAGTTGGTTTAAATATGTTAAGTGGATCACTGTGCTTTTCGGGAACTGTCAGTTCTTATTAAGCTGAATAGTTGTATTTAATTATGTGCTGGACAGTAATCACGTCAGACATGAATATGTGTGATCATGATATCCCTCATGAAATCTTTTCATCCAAGGTATTTCCCTTTTTTTGTGCTATGTTAAATAAATTCTGCTCTAATGAGGATACCATTGTGTAGCTGAAAGTTCTTCCATATGGTTACATCCATAACTTCTTCCTTTCAACAGAGCTTTTTCTCTCTTCCCCCCCACCTTGGTAGCATTTTCTCACTCCAGTTGGATGGGTGCAGAAAAGGCTCTGATTCCCTGTTCATACACTATTTTAAAACTGTAGCCACTGGAGCTGACTAAATTACATGGTGGTGCCAGTAGTCTTGATGTTAAACTGACCTGAAAGAAGGATTAGACTTAAGCTGGTACTGTGAAAAAGGTTGGGTTCCTCCCCACCCCCTTAAAAACTACTGTAATGCTGAAGTGTCAAAAGATATATGGGCAGCTGTCCTTTTGTAGCTCAGTTAAAGAAGTTGCTCTCTTCATCCAGTCGCTGCTGCCCATGTAACTTAGACACAGTGATATGAGTTAATCTAGTGGACTTTTTAATAATTTGAATGTTAATCCGTGGTGTTGAGGAGCAGTTATCCAGACCATAATCAAAATTCAGATGTGGAGGCAGAAATAGATTGTGGTTTGCGAGTTTTTGTACTGCTTAAAAATGCAGCAGCACGTTGGTTAGTCTTTTTAAATCTTTGTGAAATCCATTGAGAATTTGATAGATAGATAAAATAAATTATTTAATTGTAGGTCACTGCTGTATATAAACAAGAATCAGAAGTCCAGGTTTAGATACCATCTTGTCTGCTTCTCCTCTAGGTCCAAGAACTGTTTGGTTTTTTCCTCGCTTTGGCCTCGCTTGACTAAGGGCCCTGCTCGGTGCAGCAGGTACCTTGGTGGTCAGGGCATTCCCACTGAGTGCAAAAAGCGTCCCTTTGAGTTCTTGTGTGCTGAAAAAATGAATTTTTAGCCAGGTTTCCATTTCTTTGAGATCAAGCAGGAAAGGACTAAAGAGTTAAAGAAGCTTAAGTAGCTGCTGAGGGGTGGGTTGGACCAGTTTTCAGTGTTGGCAGTGAAAAGTATTTCAACTATTACTTTGGGAATAGCCCTGTTGCTTCTGGGTGAGTGCTACTATCTGATTCCTGCTATACAAGGGGAAGACACTGCACTGTTGTAATTAAAATTGAGGCTATTTATTTGTTATTTTCTTACAGGAAACAGATTCGAGCTCTTCTAGGACAGTTTAGCCAGTCAGAGGCTTTGTTAATCTCCTCTGGAGTTGAGCCGGGGACTCTAGATGGAGTTCTCTTGGATGCTGGCTGTTCTTCAATGCAATTTGATACACCTGAAAGAGGTTTTTCCCTGCAGAAGGATGGACCTTTGGACATGAGGATGGATAGTGACAGGTACCTGTTAATAAAATATTTCTCCTCAAAACTCAAAAACTGTGTGCTCAGCAACCCCTGTGTATTTCATTTCCCCTTAAATTGAAGAATTCTCACCATCAAACCGCATCTAATTTTGCATGAGTATACCGTCTGTCTTTTGCCACAAAGCTTTTTCAATCTCAATATTCAGAACCCTGTTTATCATCTTCTTTTCCTTTGAAGGAAAGGAGGAAAGTTACAGTGATAAGTAATTAAACCAGTAACATTTTTGTTAACTATACCATTAAAATTTTACATTTTTAGAGTGTATGGTATACAGTCACAGAGGCATCTCATTTTCAGAGGCCTGGCCTGTCTTCTCCCTCTTAATTCCACCATTTCTCAGACTGTACTTGATCTGCAGGGTCACAGCCCCTTATTGCAGTCCCTTTCCTTTTCTGCCACACTTACTATTTGTGGAACCTTCGCTTGAGCACGTTCAGTTGCTCCCTCAGGAAATGAGCAACCTCCCTCTTTTCTGCAATGGCCATCTGACCCAGTTACTTCTCTCTAAAAGGAACATAATATAAAGTAAATAAATAAATAAAATTCCATCCATGATATTTGCCAGTTGAAATCAGATAGCAACATTGCTTTTAACATGCTATTATAATGTTGTCTTCCATGCTCATAGATTTATTGTAAGCTTTCCTTAGCAGTATTATAAGCTTCCTTTCACATTGTGTAGGAGCACATCAGGCTTACTTAATTGTCAAATTAACAATTACTAAATAAATCCTCTCTATTTAAATTATTAGAATTGGCATTTAGTACGTTCAAGAGCATGCAAATCAATGGTGGAATGATAATTTCTACTTAAGTAGCAGTTTTCATCTTCAAACAACCTAATGATTTCTGTAGCATTATGCTTTTCACATGAACAACCAAATATCTCTTGTATAGATGATGGCAGTTATTGCATAATGCACTACTGGGAGAATGAAAATTTTTGCTTTGTGTTTTGATGAACCTGTAGTCTTAAGAAACGTGATTCAATCTTTCTTGCTCACATAGAGCTGATGGGAAGCCTCAGCTTCTAAGGAATTACCTTAACGCATTAATGTTAAGTCTTAACACAGCAAATTTAATGATATCTGCTTTTTCCAGTTTTGTGTAAAAAGCTCACATGATCCTCCTGGGATTCAGCTCTCAGATTTCAAGAATCTGAACTCCACGGTTATATTTGCATCATGAGAATACATACATGGAACAGGAGCATAAGAACAAAGGATACCTGTGGCATAACAAAAGCCTTACACTACAGTTGTTGCTATGATACTACTTGCCTCTGATTTCGAAGTTTTGTTATCCTTTGTAAGATACTGCAGGAGAGTAATAAATGCCTGAAAAATGTTCTGCATGTTCATGTCTTTGTAGAAGAGACTTTATTAAGTAGGTTGTATGTTTTGTCTGATTAGTAAACCCATCTATGATTTTCATAAAATACTTTGAACTATTTCAATAGCAAAGTGACAGAGATTTAAAAAAAATAAATGTATGGCTTTTACTGTTTATATTGCAATAATTCCTGTCATTTGTAATATTAGGTCATTTCTATTCTCTCAAAACAGTATTTGGATATAAACTCTTATGCCTTTTAGTGAAAAGTAAAGTTAAATTTTTTTTGATGAGCCCTTGTTTTCATAGCAGGAGATGTGAAAGAAAAGATCCATGGAATCAGTTCTGACTAGAAAACAACATATAATGCAGGATGACTTAAATTGAACCCACAAGGGGCAAGTGTACATTCTAAAGCTGGCTAAATAAAAAGTCACACAGCATTTCCATTTTAACGTGGTACTGAAATGTATTTATGCTTGTCAACTCATTAAGCATAGTTTATGATAATACTTGGAAGTTTCAGCTGTTCTAATTGATGTTAAGGAATAAATTCCATTTAAAGTAGCAAGAAAAAGGATTTAAAAGGTGCAAGCTATATCTGTTTTCATAAGGTTGCTGTCTCTTATTTGAAAACCTCAAAGGCACTTGTATTCAGTGTGTGAGTTTGACTTTATGTCTCAATGCTATGAAGCTTCACCTCTTGTCAATGAAAACTGACGTCAGTGAACTAATTGGCTCTTCTTGTGCGTAGGTACCCTGACATGCCCACTGCTGCTGATGTTGTGAACGCTTTAGATCAACAGGCGCTTGCGTCCATCCTGAGAACATACGGGGAGGAGAGGCACGCCAAGAAAATCGCTTCAGCCATCGTTCAGGCACGCAGCATATACCCCATCACCAGAACTCAGCAGCTTGCAAGCATTGTTGCAGGTACCCTCATTAATTCTTCACAGTGGCTGAGGAGAAAAAATATTAATCCCCAAAGTCCCAGAGGGATCTATTTGTACTTGAAATCATGCAGGATCTAATCCTGCCTGTTCGGCTCTGATGTCAGCTCGGTCTATTTTTTTTTTTAAGGTCCCACTTTTTATATTGTAGTTTGATGATTAGTTTAATAATAGATTTTACATGAAGTGATTTATCATTTTGCCAACCCAGTTGAAACACAGAATGACAGCAACCTAGGGAATTCTTTATCCCAGCTATTGATAAGTCTTCAAATATCAGAAACATCATATACCTCTCTTAGTTTTAGATTTTTGTGGTGTATTATTTTGAGGAAAAGTACCTTGGCAGTTTCCACTTATGAATGAAATCAGATCATTTCTGCCTGCTTAAAGAACGAGGAAGCAAAAAGTAAAGCAATACATAGCTTGCTTCACCTTGTGAATGCCAACTAGATCAGCCTGAAGCAACTATTGAAACACTTCATCTTACTTGCTCTTCACTGTAAACAACTTGAACAAAACGTAGTTAGGCAGGAGCTGTGCTCACATCAAGAACCTTCATATTTCTGTTCTCAAGGAAAAATTTTCAAGGGAAAACATAAGATACAAATCCTGTTAATTAACATTATAACATGTAATGTTGGGATATTCGCATTTTTTTTAACCAAGAAATGAAAATTGAGGGGTCATGTCACAAATAAGTCTAAACTGCTCACTCCTTTGAATATAGACCTTTAAAATGGCTGTCGAAATTTAACATTTGCTAAAGAACAGTGTTAAACGTTGTATCGGTATTCTGAAGACTTTTAAAAAAATACACTGCATTCATAAAAATTTGTATTCCTTAAACTGGAAGTTCAGGGGACTTACTTTTAATGACTGACAAACAAATTAAAAGGTTTGCATTTGTATAAGTCAGGATACTTGAACGAAATATCTAGTCAACTGAGGCCTAAAGTTTAGCTGATAATGGTGAAAGGACCTGAAGATGCTGCTTGCTGTTGTAAGCCCCTGCTGTAAATATGGTGAATGTAAGGAACAATCTTAAGAAGCCCAAGAGAGAAAACACTATGAGTCTCTTAGAAAACTTGAAGAGTTGCATTTTTAATGTAGTCATTGCCATTAACATCACAACTTTATTTTTTTGTCACATGTAGCTCATGCTTTTGGAAAAAAGTATTGATTAAAACAGTGTACCATTATTGAGATTGAAGCACCTGTATTGCTGTGCTAAAGATGTAATGCATTACAGGTTGTAAACAAGCAACTCAGTAACTTCTGAAATAATTTTGTGCACTAGCTTGAACTAAGAAAATAAAAAAAGTAGTGCATAAAAGACAGTGATTGAAGATCCCCTCATGTTTAATGTGTTGCATTGTGAGTCATCACTTAATGGTCACTTTCTGTGACAATGAGAAGGATTTTTTGTTCTCACTTTAAACTCTGCTATATTTGAAGAGCAGCTTGATACATGAATCAGGTGTGCATGGGATAGTACACATGCCAAAGGCAATGAATCCAGCACATGTCTGCCAAGACAGTAAATATGTGTGGTTTGTGTGCTTTTTTTTGAAGTATGCACATAGTTAAAACAACTTTAGGACTGTTACACTGATCCCTGTTTGGCCAATTTTAATTGGATTCCTCCAATAAAGGAGCACAATGGTGGATCCTACTAGTTTTTGAATTGATTATACCTTAAGAAAATTTCTGGTAACTAGAATATATTTTGCTTAATTTATCACCTATCATCAATATATACTCTTATGCAAAATGTTATCTGAGAAGTTATTGAGGTAAGCCAGAGCTAAAGTGCCAGAGACCACAGCAACAGGATCCTCTTGGTGGCACAGCACAAAAAAACCCCTCACTAATTCAGCACTTTACCAGAGTAAAATCTATGACATACTAGTTAAATGTAAAGTCCCTTAAAAAATAAAATATTATTTAGAATAATAAAATCTTGCATTTTAGATTTTGCAGGCTCTATGAAAGCATGATTATCTCTCCAGAACAAGATAAAATTTTTTTTTGCCTGGTATAGGAGCCAGAAAACAAGCACAAAATCTAGCCAGTGAAGACGAGTATTTCTTTCTATTTATTTTCTGGTGTCAGTATCTTATGATTCCTGTATGGCCCATATTTCTTTCACATGTTATAGATTGCTATGGCTTCTGATTTTCTAGAACTCCAAGGTTTTGTGTTAAGGTCCAGCTGATAACCAGAATCTCGGTGAATCTAAAGTTGGACTAGCCTGAAATTGGAAAATTCCATTTCTGTTTATAGAATGCTAGACTTCTGGTCTTTCCTACTACCCCTCAAAAGGTTAGCATGTGTATTGCTGTTGCTAATTGATTGGGAGATAAGAGTGAACGGTGTAATTAAAAAACAAACAAACAAACCAGCTCCACAACAGTTAGCCAACAATCGGACATTTCTGAAGTCTGTATTAGGAAGAGTTATAATTTTAAGGTATAGCTGGAAGAAATACATAAATAGATCTGTATGTCAAGATTGCCTACGACAGCTTGGGGCTAACTCAGGTAGCCAGGTGATTTCTTGCTCCCCTTGGTTCCAATTCAAGAAAATAATTCCTTCAATTTCTTGACATAGAGCCAGAGGGTTATCTCCCTACATAGTGTGCCAATGCCTTTCATCCATTTGAATACGGAGATCTCTGTGAGCTGTGGAGTCTGCGGTTTACATGGGGAAAAAGGAGGAGTTTTCTGTTCAGTCATGTGAACATCATCTCTCCTTGCAGCACAGTCAAGCTTCACTCAATGTTTATAAATTTCATACTGCTATCTGCAATGATGAGCGCTCTGTAAATACTGAAGACCAGTAGCTCTCAACAGCAGGTCTGTGAATAGATGTGTGGAAGTTGATTAAGAAGCATTTCCTGATGGCTTTTGTGGTATCTCATTGAGTTGTTTGGAAACAATAGGTTTAACTCAGTTTGCAGGAAAACTTGTTAAAAACAGTGAAATTTTGAGAATGTAATTCTGTACAACTGATGATCTGTTTTTATTTCTTTTCAGTGGATAATATACCTTGTTATCTATTAGGTTTTGTTCAAAATTTAATTTTTCTCAGTGTTGTTTAGGTATGTAATCTATTAACAGATCATTTTGAGATCATGTAATCATTTGAGCTTAACTTGAAAGGAATTGATGATGAGATATTAAAGACATTTGAAAAGTTTAAAAAGAACTTTAATGGGTAAAGCCAGTCTCATTCAGATTGGTTCACATTTATAGACTTTAATTATCAGTTTGGAGTTAGTAATATTGCCTGAATTTCAGATGGGTGAGAATTAGCACTGTACTGAGGGAGCCTAGACAAAAGGACATTAGTTGCGTCACAGAAACTTATTAAATGCAATGCTAATTCAACAGACGGATTCCTGCAAACAGGTGCACGATCTGAATTAATTTTTAAACTCTCCCACTCTCATATACTCTGGGGACTTTAATAGTTCATATTGACAGGCACAGCACATTGCTAATTTCATTCACAAGCTTTAAAACTTCAATACATTTCAACATGTGAATCTATTAGATTTTTAAAAGTGTAAGTAGCATCAGGGCATCCCAAAACTAAAAATGATAATTTCTCTCACTGGGATTTCAAACCAGTCATCTAGCCAGAAGCATGGTGGTTTTATGAATGAAATTCATTTTACATGCTTCCCATACAGTTTTTTTTTATATTTTTGTACATTGTACAGCTTGTTACCAGGAAGGATTTTCTCTTAGTGTCATGGTAATTGGAGGGGGCTGGGTGAGAGATTTTGTGCCTTAGCAGAAAGCACAAATAGGTTTTTATTTAACTGTACCAAAGGACTAAGAGTGGGGCAGGAAAATTTTTCACCCCTGGAACATAGATCAGAATCTCCTGCCTTTACTAAAAAGATGAAGGCCAGTGTGATAGAAATCACTACCACGGATTTAATTTATTAGTTAATCCCAGCCTCTGAAGACAGACCAGTAAGTCTTTGAACTTAGAAATGGTTTGATTGTGGTTTTAATTTGGGGGGCTTTGGTTGTATAAAGTTGCAACGTGGTTGCATTTCTTTACCAGTTTCCTGAATATTAGTATTCTCTGCTGTTATATATTACCTGCAGTGCTGTTTGTGCATGTTCAACTGAGGTATGTAAGGTTGTATTATACTTACAGAATATATCTGGGTTTTAGTTTATTTTTCTTCAGTGTGTGATAAATTAATTCAGAGTTATAAATTAATGTCACAGTTAATCATCGTAGAAGATTATTGTAGGAAGACACTACACTCAACGACCATGGCAGGACAAATGGAAGAACCTTCCAAAGGCCCTGTTAGTGTCCGCGTCAGGCTGGTAGCCTGAGCATCTCATTTCTTTTGCTTATCTATTCAGTATTACAAGTGCAAAATGGCAGTGTTCATGATCAGACTACTAAAAATCTGGCCAGATATCAGCATGTCATGTCTATTTAGATTTTTACAAAACCATTTTTGAAGTAGATCTTTATATCATTCTTGTTTTTTCAGGTAAGCAAAAGATATTTTGGTGACATAGGAAATAAAATTTCCAGTATTTTACTAAAATTCCAGTGAGATTGGCTGTGGAAAATTAAACAAAGGATCTCATTCTAGGCACCTGTTCTAATGGTTAGGTTCCAATCAAGAAGCGCAGTCAGTTTTGTACCTAAATTACATGCTGTACTCTTGTGGGTTGGCTTCATTTTTATCTGTGATGCTTTTGGAAGCTGAAATATTCTTAGAATATCAGAAATGGATCATCCCCAGAAAACCAGCAGTATTTTTAGAAAATACTTAGACTGCTAAAATGGATAGTTAAAAATTCTGGATCTGCTTTGAGGTGAACACCAGCTCTGGATAGTAACAGCCCAAAATTGAAAATATGAAACTGATGCTCTTCAAGTCACAGCTGTAACTTGTTCAGCAAAGGGCAGGAGCAATACAGATAGAACTGAAAAATGCACCCTGTTTTCTAACCCACTAGTTTGTTAATAGCTAATATTTTGCAAGGGAACCGTGCTTTTTCATTCCAGTTACAACTGGTTTCGTGGATTGACTGTGGCAGCAGTGGGCTTGGTTTTGGAAGGAGGGAGGGGAAGAGCGAGGCATGTTTTCGGTGGTTTTAAAAGGAGGCTCAGAAAATGAGATAGATTTGTTGTGTGAGGTCTTTTACAAAACCGGTATTTTCTTATTCAAGAGACCATGGCTTCTGTAGCTGAACTCAAAAGATAACCAGGTATCTGATGTTTCAACTTCAAATTCCATTGATGAGAAATGCTGATATGACTGAAACCTAAGACAGGTCTTATGGAGAATACAAAGTGATGTATATTTAGTCACTTTATGTGTGCTATGGAAACATGCATGTCCTGTGGTGGTTTTAGATACATTACATGCTGATTTTAAGCCCTGCTGTTTCATTTAATAATTATTCAAGATTTCTGAGCATATTACTAGTGTTTGTAGCTGTTAGTTGACCATTTAAAGAAAATGGTTTATTTTGCTCAGCTCCAGATTCCTTTATGTTATGCATTAAGAGACAGTTTTCTTCACACCCAAATGGCAGTCAAATGGCTGCTTTAAGGATTCCATTTTCAATGAATCTGGTTTTTAGGTATGTACAGAAATATGGAAACAGATAACGTGCCAGGTAGTACAAGCTTGGTGTCAGTTGGTTTTTGGGACATCTTACATTCTGCAGTTTTGAGTTCTTCTTTTAGTTCAGATCTTTCATTAAAATAGGCTTTATGACTCCTGCAATGAGCGCTTACATTCTTTTTATGATTTATAGAAAGTATAGAACGTGGTGTTCTCAAAGACAGAAATGATATTGGCTATCTAGTGTAACTTCTTCTAGAGTTCGTAAGTGATGGAGGAGCCTAGCTCCCACAGGTTAAGTCTATTTACTCTGTTTTGTGAAACAGAGTTTAGAGCCGCAAATTCCTGTGCAGTAGTTTGTGTTGGGAGAAGTTGATCCTGTTGCAACTTTCTGTCTCAAAGGATTCAGGCTATAGGAATAGTAAACAGCCACAGCTACAGTGGGTCTCTCCAGTTAATTCAGGAACTGATTCACGAGAGTCAGAGGAGGTAAGGCATGTAGCTGGGAAAATTGAGTATGCAGAAACACATCTTCGATACATCGCATACATGATAATAACTTTGTTAGTAATGATTGAATTTTTAAATCCCATTATTGGCCTCTCCCTTTGCTGAACACTGCTTATGTGTTTGTGATGCCAGATGCTTACGTTTTCTGGCATAAGGAAAATCTTACCTTTAAAACTTTCAAGAATTCCACTAAAACTATTTTGTGCCAACGTACTGGATTATGATATCTCTATTCAATTTTTTCAGTCACCTGTGTAAATGTGAATTTAGTCAACTTGTTTCAGAGCTACCATATTGTCTTCTTTTACTCCACTGCATAGAATATCAGTTATTTGATTATGAACTGCATTTACTTCAAACCCGTTTCTTCATTATGTTGTAGTTTAGCACTGGTATGGAATGAAGACATTTTAATACATACATACCAGCTGTATGGCCTATTTCTAATGAGCCCTCTTGTTTGGAAAAATAATTCTTTCCAGTTATATGCTAGCATTATTCATTCAATTTACCTTTACCAGACTGCTGCACGCACTTACATAATAGATCATAGGTTTACTCAGGTTTCACAGATCTTGTAAGCCTTTTGCACTTTAGTCCCTTTGATCCATCAAATCTGGCTTCTCTAGCTTTTTGCTTTATACTCAGATAACGAAGAGTCAAGCCTAAAATACATTAAATAATGATATGTTAAAGTTTCTATCAAAATTTCAGTCTCTGCAGAGACTTTTATAATTTGTTAGAATTTTGGAGAAAGGAAGATGGAGTTTTGTGCATCTAGTAAAAATCATTTAATCTGGTGATTTTTTTCGTCCAACAAACTCATAACTTGACACGTTCTGCTGTACAGGCATGTGAAAAAGCAACAGTATTGGCTGCAGTTTCTGAATTTCTTAAGGTATTTTTGTGAACATTTGAAGAAACACAGGCGCAGTGATCAACAATTTTTATCCCCAAACCAAGGATTCCTCTTCTAAACTTTTAAGTAATTCATTGAAAGATACTTATCACCAGGTACACGTTATCTTCATCTTACTTCTGCCTGTGAAGAAATGCATAATTATCTAGAAGGCAGCAGTTAAAATTGTGTCCATCTTATATTAAATTTATTTTTTGCCTTAAAAGCATAAAACAAACCACCACAAATACCAAACTGACATTGACTACCTTGAGCTGTAAAGTAAGATTTATCTAGCCCATCTTGGTTTCAGCCATCATTTTGTATTTTAACTTTGTGAAGCACTTGAGGAAGAAATTTCTGTGAAAGTTGCTAGGAAAAGAAACAACACTCAACAGCCAGCCAGCTCAGTTTAATAGGTTTACTTTCAGAAATGTGAATTCAAAGCAGAAAATAAAGATACATTATAAAGAAGGAAGCTTGCCACTCAGAGTTCAGTTGTAAGTATGCTTTCCTTTGAAGTCATCATGCCTGAGTGGATTTATGTTAGGATAGCAGTGTAGAAATAATAAGATGTTAACATATACCTTTTAAAATTTATGACAGGTGCTTTTCCGGCATCAGCACTGTATGCACGAAAAGACTTGCTTCAGAGACCTACGCATGTTGCTACCAAAACTTTTCAAGGCCTGCGAATATTTGTAAATGATGAGCTCCATGAACTCTTCATAGGCCTGAAGACAGCTGAGAAGTTTCTGAAACCTGGAGGTCGCCTTGTAGCCCTCTCCTTTCATTCACTAGAAGATCGTATTATCAAACGTTTTCTTCATGGAATAGACATGACAGAAAAGTACAATCTTGGCTCAAGGCAAAAGATAAGACAGGCTCTGAAAAATTGCTCCAAAGAAGAATGTACACAAGAATCTCCCCATGGAAAATCCAACTCAAAGTGGATTTTTATACAGAAAAAAGTTCTCACACCCCAGGCCAAGGATGTTCAAGCAAACCCAAGAGGAAGGTCAGCTAAGCTAAGGGCTGCTATTAAAGTCTAAAACAAAACATATGATTATATAATTGCATAATTTCCTTACATTTTGTTTTCCAGAAGGCTAACTGGACAGATGGTATCAAACTGAAAAAATAAAATGAAGACTGTTAGAAAATGTTTCTTTCTCACCTTTGTGGTTCTTTTTAATTAAAATGTAGTGTAGAGCATCAAAAGGTAAAACAAGTGTAGATAAGTGGATGTCACTAATTATACAAAAAAGACATCTTTTTTAAAAGAGCATCAAACCCAAAGTTTATAAAAATTACAGGTTTGATGTATTTACAATATTTCCATTCAATTAAATTCAAAACTCTGTCATCAGCAGTCTAAATTCAGTAGCTAATTGAGACAGGCACATTTTTGTGGGGGTGGATTTCAGACACCTAAGTCAGATGTCTGGCTTAGTCTAGAGTAAGTTTAAACTAACCTAAGAATTTATAAATTATAAGTCTCTGTATCTCAGTTGACTTGTTGCATGAATAGCTGCGGGACAAGAGCTAGTTCTTAAATTGGATATCAGTATGTAATGTTCTACCCAGGAATTTGTAAATGGGCTCTTACCTTTTTCTAAAATAAGTAAATATTTACTTCTAAGTGATCACCTGGTTATTTAATGTTTATAGATTCTAAATAATAAACGTATCTTGGGAAAAAAAGATACTTAAAAGACCACTGTTTGCACTGGGACACTACAAGCAAGCAGTCAGATTTGTACTTGATCATTTGAATTTCTTCTGGTGATGCTAACTTATGTGCATAGATTCAGAACAACCCTTAGGTGTTGATGGAATTATAATAACCCATCAAAACAGGGGTATTGTGGGTCTTACAAAGTATTCTCCTTTGCTGGTGATCATTTATTAAGAGATGCTACTTGGGTAAGTATTGAATTACTTTATGAAAGGCCCACTGTAATACCAGTTTCCAATGTGGATGCTATACTAGGTAGTAGACCATATAACACAATTTATTTTTTAGTAAGTTAATATGAATTGGGTTTAGCTTTGGGTTTATATCTTATCTTAAAAGACCACTGTTTTGCTGTCTTTTTATGTTAAAAATGATCAGAAAATAGTGTAAGTTTCAACTTCTTTGACTTCTGACTCATCTGTTCAGGAAAAAAAGTCCTTATTTGGATAATCAAATCAGTAGCAGGATTTCCTTTGTGATCAACCTGAAACTTGGCTGATAGAATAAAAAAAATGGAATTTCTGACTCTGAGCTACATGATTACTACACTAGCTTCTGAAGGAGAACTGACCGGATCAGTCTGGGCTTGATTTTCACAAAGCATCCTCTTTATGTTGATAGAAATTATTACTTCATGGGAGTTTTTGAGGTTGTATTGACACAAACAAGATGAAATTTAGTTTCACTGTCTATTATATACAATATATTGAAATATCTGAATATTATTTAATTCCTTGGTAAAGCTGAGTCATATAATGTATTCTTAGGTATACACAAGATAATCTCTCACTAATCTAAAGTACAGTCAAATGATGATGAGCACTTCATGCTTTTCTGAGATTTCAATATTTTTCCACTAGTTTCATTATACATGCTAATAAATATTAAATAAAACATTCCACTTCAATTAATATTACTTGCTGTTGACATCTTAGAGACAACAGACTGTACCTTAAATAGACATTTTTTCATCCAAACATTAAATATAAATAGCTAATGTTAATTTTTAGCCAAGATTACATACTGAAGCGTACTCCAGTTGTAGGCTGGAAAAACTGTGCCTCCAACACAGGCTTAGAAGAGCTGTAGTGCCATGCTGCACGCTGTACAGGAACGCACTTCTGGTTGGAAAAGACCATCCAGTTTATAGCAGAAGTATCTGTATCCCAGAAATTATAAATTAAAATTCCTTATGCTTAGCACAGTGTTTAAAATCCACTCTTCTGACATCTAATTTCAAAGGCACAGTTTCTTATGATGGTTGAACTACTGTTTATCAATTTTTGTAAATACACTCCCTCAGTTAGGATAAGTTAGAGCCTTTTTTTTACCTTTCAGTTGGAGTTGCACAGCCATGGCAATGCATCAGTTGGTGAGCTCTTCTCTGTAGAGTATCTGTTTCTCCTCTCGGGGTCTCCTCACTTTGAGCTTTAAACTTGTAGTTTGGAGAGTTCTGGAATTTTAATCTCTGCTTGCCTGAAAACAGAATTTTCTGCTTTTCCCAGAAAAAAAACTCTGGTTACATTTAGTCAAATATTGTTGTATCTTTAAGCAGTTTTTTTTTCATTTAGTAGGTGAAGTTATTTTATGTGAAGGGTATTAGGTCTTTATGTTCTTTCCAAGACACATGTCTACATAGCATATCTTACATTTTGCAAACGTGGTTTATGTGACATGTTAGTAAAACTAAGTATTTTTTTACTGTAATCAAAAATGGTATTTATGAAGGAGATGGTATTTGGTGGAAAATTAGTCTCACTGAAAACCAGATCATGCTGTCAAGATAGAAATTGTATACAATTTCTAAAATCTTGATCTTCAACCTGAGCAATGTGTTTTAATACAGCCAAATGCAAGATTTTCTATCAACATCAAATAGAAAAGATTGTACACAACGTTTACAAGGAATATGGTGGTATCATGGTACTGTACACGGTGGGAAGAGTAGAAGCATCCAATATGTGGAATATTGGTAAAGAATATCAAGTGGTAGTTGTGGAGAGATGACGACATTGACAGACAATGTGTGAGTGTAGAGCATATTGCTAAAGTGTATATCTTTTCATGTTAGTACTTCATAAGGGTGTGGAAAAATTTTAAAAAGGATAAAAACCAGCTATGAGACTATTCATACATATTGTAAACATACTTTCTATTTAAATGATTAGAAAATGTGATTTAATTTGTTAATCCAAGTGAACATAGAGTTGATATGCTGTCGGAATTACCTATCTGGTGAAGGAATTTACATAGAATAATTATCTGAAAACTAGACACAGTTATCCTGTGAATAAGGTTTTTGTAGTTAAAATATAGTACTTTTAAAAGTATCATTTTAAAGCATAAGCATAATTAGCTGCATGTAGAGCCCACGAGGGCTTGCCAACAATTATTATTTCCCTATTGCTTCCTGAAGAAAAAGAAGCAGTTTCATTGTTTCAGAATGCAAAGGCCTAATCATGCTGTTTTCAAGTAATGTAAGGAATTAATATCTCTTTCTTCTGTTTGTTTTTTGGTTTTGTTTTGGTGTTTTGTTTCTTTTTTTTAAGAACTATTACAGTTGAGTAATTTCTCAGTAGTCATTTCTAGTCACATCTGCTGAGATTTCCATTTGACTTGGAAAAATCCCAGTCTGAAACATCAGCTTTTGTACGGTTCTATTGAGGTTTTTGATAGATGGAAGTTGGAAGGAGAGAATTCCTAGTGTGGTATGAATGGCAAAATACCTATTTGGCTAAACAATATTAGCAAGTGGCTCTCTTCTAGTAGCAAGTTTGTACCAGACTTTTTGCATGCTGCTTTCTAGAATAGCATTTCTATTATTATTAATGATTCACATAGCGGCTCTAAAATGACTCTTTGTGTTGGAGAAGACATGGTATTAATTGCAGAGTTTATGCTCCTAAATAGTGTAACAGAACTATGACAGAGGAAGCATCAGGAGCTCTGCCCTGAGGAAAGGTGAGGTGCAGGGGTGGGATGAGTGCAATAAGCACTCTTAGACGCAGATTGTTGGTGGTTTTATTTGATTAATTTAAATTTCTAAATAACTTGGATCTCAGCCTTGACTCATTGTTTGGAGTATCACTGTACAAAAGTACTGGTGAAAAATGAGAGGAAGTTGAATAAACAGAGAAGCAATGAACTCGTAAGCCGATTTGTCGCTGCCTGTCTGACTAGCATCTTTACCTCTAGCAAGAGCAATAAAGGGTTCAGACCTCCTTTCTTGTGCCCAAAGTCTCTCCAGGAAGGGCCCTTCAGTAGGATTAGGACCATTTACACCATGATTACAAACACTGTTCAGTGGAGTATGGGAATCTGTCTTTATAGCCATACTTTTTTTTTTCATAGAGCTTTTTTCATAGAGTTGCTTAAAACTAATCCGTAATTTAGAATAATACGCCATTATAGTTATAAGTCTTTCAAAAGTATAATCAAATGTGGAGGCCTCTTTACACCTGAGGTATACTGGTATTAAAGCAGGATTTTGTGGATTAATTAAGACTGCAGTGCTACAGTGAATCTTGCAAATAATTTAAATGAATATAGAACAACTACTTCCCTTTCTCCCAGCCTCTGTAGAAGGTAGAAGAGAAAAATATGTTTAATTAAAAAGTAAGAAATAGGCCGTAAAGTTGAACACCTTAGGAAAAAGAAAAATGTAATTTATGGGGCTGGCATCCAATTTAACAAAATTTCATATATGCAGTATTCTGTTAATTTGTCCATTCATTGCCCAGTTTTACCTGTTTTGGGATAAGCAGTAGCAGTGAGTTAGCTCAATCTCTGTACATTGATGCAGAGCATGGTTTCTAGTGCATAATCAAAGGTAACGATGGAAAGGTATATATGCTTCTAAATCCAGCTCTGTATGTTTTTCCCCTGTCTCCTTTGCAGTTAGAATTGTGTTTACCTTCCTGAATCCTCTGTAAGCTTGTCCCAGGATGAATGAGAAGGAAGGGCTTTTCTTTTTCAGAAAACTGTAATACCTGTCCATCCAACTGTATTAAAATTAATGTTATTTAATGCTTTTCTTTTAGACATATTTTACTGATGACATGCCATGTTTTCCAATGTTGATATTACATCACTAAGACAGGAAAAGGGGTAAATATTTGTTCATGGGAAGCTAAAAAACCAGAGCAAATGATCGGTTGCCATACTGACATAGCAATGTTGATAAAAAATGAAACTTTTTCATTGTAGCTTGATCTTTAGGCAAATGATATTTTCCCTGATGTTTTTAAAGCCTAATTTGATTCGTTGTAATAGTCAAAAACAAGCTGGAGATTTTTTAAATGTTATTTTTATGTT